CCCATAGGTAGTAGGCAAAATTGATTTTGATGTTTCGGAATATTACTTTGCTATTTTTGTCCATAAATAAATTGAGTATATTCTATTGCTTAGGTTAGGTGGTGGTAAATGGTGGTTGTGTTCAATTTTATCTTCATTAAGTGTTAAATAGGTAATGGATGTTTAAGATGGTGGTGTTGATAATGGCGGTGTGTGCTGTAATGAAATTGGTAATCATGTTTTGGAATGCAAGTGGTGGTGTTATGTGTGTGTGTGTGTGTGTGTGTGTGTGTGTGTGTGTATATATATATATAGCAGAGGTTGCATCTTACTTTGGAGGTTTTAGTTTGTTTCAATCGTCTTCTGGATTTGATGTTTAAATTATCTTAGTTATGGGAAAGTTGTGACTTGAAAGGCCCTTAGTGGTTTTTGAAGTTCCTCGATTATGATGGCAGAGGGATGGATGGCTGAAGATACACATTTGATTTGAAGAGTGCTTTCCCAACAAATTGAAACCAACATATTGTAAAGGTAAAGTATGCTGTTTCGTGGTTCAAATTTTGTGGAATGTGGCTTCCTTCCCATCCAATATTTGAATGCACCTAGTAACTCCTTGTGATGGTGGTCAACCCCCATTGCAGGCTGGCACGAGGCAAAGTAGTAGTTAGAAGTAAGTTATTGATAGTAGCAACAAGAACTCTATTAATAATGTTTGAAAATGAAGTTGAAAGGATGTACCTGACATTTGTTTGTGCAATTGTAATTGAATCTCTATTCTAAATCCAATCTTAGATTTTTTTAGCCTCGTTTGGTAGATGGTGAATGTACTCTCTCTCTCTTTTACTTGGCATATGCGTGTTTTATATATACGCACACTCTAATTCACTGTAATAAACATTAGAATTAACTACATATTCAGGCCTCACAAGTAAGATAGAAAGTTGGGCTTTCTATGAAGCACCAATGACAGCAATAAATGAAAAGTTATCGGTTAAAAGTTGGAAGGAAAAAATGTATATAACAGTCCGATTAAGGCAAAACTGACGTTTTCAGCAAAAACTGTCCAGTTACTCCCTCATTAATGAATATATGGAGTTCAGTCCAACCATCAAACCCCTAACAAATTTTATGTCAAGCTAATCCCCAAGTACCATCTGGTACAACCAAGCACATAATTAGATGAAAGAACTCATGCATAACAGAGTTATACCTCTACTTTTCTACGAAAGGGAGAAAATGGAGGGATAAGTACAGTTGAACAAAATGGAAGGACCATAATTCTATCTCAAATTTACAAGTAAAAATGAATAACAGCTAGAAATAAAAATTAGGTTGCTGCAGTGAAGCTAGATAGCCCTCAAATTTGAAGCGCGAAAATCAATAAGCACCAATAACGTGACTTTTCGGGTTGGACAGACCTCTTAATCAGCTTGCTTGTCGAAATGCCATCAGGTAAGTACCCCCAGAAGAGAGAGTAAAGGGTGCACAAACTTTTTTACAAACAACCTTACAATTACAATGGATAAATCATGCAAAAAAGTTCACTTGTCATCTGAGATTCCAACATCGCTGTGAAACGACGTTCTTGGATGAGTAATTGGGACAACGTTGGACAAATTTGCCAAGTGTGTTGCTCTTGGAAAAGAATCTAAACCTTGAACCTGAAAGAAGGGGAAAAATAACATAACACATGAGACGCTAAATTCGGTCTAACAACATTATGGTCTAACATTTAGATTCACTAAAAATGAACCAGAAGAAAATTGTATGCCATTTAGCTCGTCCCAGTCATTGCAACTTCATGATGCGGTAAATGTCGGTTAGCAAAATATGCACCTAAATTAAAATTTGGGTCAGCAAACACATGAAAGAAGCAAGGCACCCAACGACCTCGATTTTCGTACAATCCAAATAACCAATCATTGTCATGCAACTCAAACTCATCAATCATGGCTCCAACCTTTTTCAAATTCATCAGCAGCCTGCGAGTCATATACCAAATGATGTATAGTCGAGAATATCAAACTTTTATCAATGTGGTACCCAAACTTCTCTGGCAATTTCTTCATAATGTGCCACAAACACCATTTATGTCTAGTATTCGGAAATACAATCTCGATTGCATTCTCCATGGCTTTGTCTTGATCAATAATTATTCCACATGGAGGTTGATCATGTATGCACTGAAGCCACGTCCTAAACAGCTAGACAAACGTACTTGTATTCTCGTTTGATAATAAGCCACAACCAATTAGTGTTGATTGTGATGATTCACACCAATAAAAGGTGCGAAAGGCATGTCGTACTTATTCGTCAAATAAGTGGTATCAAAGGTTACGACATCGTCGAACTCCTTGTAAGCTTGTCTACATCTATTATCTGCCCAAAATACTTTCTTAAGCTGAGACTCGTCATCCAAATCCATAGACAAGTAAAACCCTGAGCACCGTGCTTGCATCTGTGAAAAGTAAGATTGTAATGTTGCTGCATCTCCCTCTCTAAGTTGTAACCATCTAACTTGTTCAATATAATTTCGGCAATCTTTTTCAATGCAGGTCATATTCTCATACCCACCTGCCTCTACAACTGCAGAGTTGAAACTTTTGTGTAGTGGAATTCCCACTATGTCATTCAATATAAGCTTTCGTTTTACATTTGCACTTAATTCCCAATTGCACCAAATCATCCTAGACTTCGAAGGACTTGTCTTATGGTTGTGCTGGAGGTTGATGGTGTTAATTCTCCATGTGCCATTACAGTCTGCAGATGCAGATATCCGTGCTTTACAATCTGTTTGACTTGTTGGTTGTGGCCTTAAAGCACTGTTTGTATTACTAGACCTTTGGCCTTCACGACTATATGTAAATGTCACAAATCTAACAATTCCGTCATCCCCCTTTTTAGAATTTCTTTTTCTAACTGGAAAACCAACTACATAGGCATATTGCTTGGAGAAATCAAACAACTCCTTTTCATCTTTAAATGTCATACCCACCTCGGGCACAATCTTTCCATCTCCTCTCAAGGTGTCGTTATCCACAACGTTGATATTGTCTGAAACTATCTCATTATCGGATTGCATGAAACCATTTTTGTTCCCGGGTTCCATAATTTCGCACTTTGCATCCAAGTAGAAAGATAATGTTTAGCAAAATAAAAAGCAATAATAGAAACGAGAAGCAATATGATGAAATACTTCAACTAACTTGTTCAAGGAAAATGAAAGTTTAAGCATCAATAATTAGTCTCAAATAAAAGATAAATCAGTCCAAACATTTCACCTCAAGTTCCTAAAAATTGTTGGAAAATAAATGTCAAACGAAACATAATTCAAAGTCAGATTTTTATTACATGACAACTTTTTGCATCATAATAGACATGAAATATTAGATAATATCTCATGACAACGTTGATCATGCACCTGAGAACATAGAAATTATATGTCCCTGTCTGATAATCTACCTTTTCATGTGCAGTAGATTTATGTGTCTGTATAGAAAAGTGTAGATAAAAATTGCACTTGTTAGTTTCATTTTATATATTTGCTCATGGACCATGATTTTATCTTTTTTCCTGCAATTTGATATGTTTATCAGGTTTTCTTCATGCAATTTTGATATGTTTATCAGCAACTAAATAATTAGTGTTATTTGTAATCTGTTAATTAATAAAAATGGACAAGTTTGCTTTTCGTTCCCTATTTCTCTTATTAATGATGCTGCTTTATTTTTTGTTTTAGCTATTGATCAATGGACAAGTTTGTTGTCAGAAAGCCTAGACAGGAGCACAGTTTGATTACTAAAGAAAGTGATGATTCACAACATTCTAAACATGGAAGCATTGAAATTGATTTAGAAAGTCTTCCAAATTTCATATTATCATTCTAATGATAGAGATGAAATCCAAAGAGTCTATTTGTTGAGAGGTCCATGTCAACCTAGTACAGTGAGTATCAAGTTCAAGGCTTTACAGTTAGTACATTTGTTGCACATAGTACTAATCGAATCTGTATTGGACAAGACTCTCATCCTGTGCTCAAATCCTCTTTGCCAAACATGCCATAAGTTTACGACGTATGAATACATCCCAAGTGCATCTACTTCTAATGCAGCTAATTGACTATGATATGGAGAAACCAACAATAGATTATTAAACATTCATGAGAACACTACAGCTGAAATTTCAATACACGGTAAACTAAATGGACCGACATCGACACTCTAGCAAAGTACCGAAAGAAGGGGTGAAATCTCATGATGTTAAATATACTTAAAAACTTCAGTGACAAAATCAAATGTTCCCCTGTTTAGTTCGTATTTACGGTCTAACACAAAATCAAATGCAACTCTAATAAATAACTTCATTGATCCACTTATTGTTTACCAGTAAACTGTACAAGAATAATGAAGTACTTGAAGTTGGATATTTGGAGAGAACCTGAGGTTCTGCTGTCCTCTTTCCGGTGAAGTAACCCGACGAGTTAAAGGAAACGAAAATTACACACATGGAAGGCCTCACAAGAATAATGAAATACCTGAAGCTAATACTTTGGAGAGAACCTGAGGTTCTGCTCTCCTCTTTCCGGTAAAGTAACTCGACGAGTTAAAGGAAATGAAAATTGCACACGTTGAAGGCCTCTTTCACTTCCCTTCACAGTCTAGCTGAAGATTGCCAACCGGCTCATTCACCTCCGACTAGTAAGATTCATAGACATGGGACGCAGCTTCGTTTCCTCTAAACCTAACTAAGGCTCTGTTTTTGGGAAGAAATTATGAGACGTCTTCCCTTCATTTTTTTTTTTAACACTATGGTTTCCCACCCTTTTCCTTTTCCTTTAGTGGCCACGTCATTTTCCTTCCAAAGTTCTGTAAAGGGTCTGTAGCTTTACTCTGTACGTTTAGGATTTTTCTATACACACACACACATATAATATTTTTTTTTTCCTTCTAAATGTACTATCATTATTTGAAAACAAGGTATTATACAATAGGCTAAAAAGGAAGGGTAAAATTGTAATTAGATAGATTCTTATAAAAATACTGGTTCTTGGAAAGCATCACACATTCATCGGTTATCCAAATAACTGTTCATCGTCTTCGCTTTAGAACTTGGTACCAAAAAACTCTTCAAATATTCCAAGATCCTACTTTTCGATCGAAGATCTGTAAGTTCTCAAACAAAAATTCCGTCTTTTCTCAGCTTTTTTTTTTTTTATCATTTTCTAATGTTTCTATTCATTTCTTGACATCATTTAGTTTCTTAGAGGATTCATTTTCTTGCTTTTCTTGGATTGCTATATAAAACCCTTTTAGATCTCGAAGTAAAGCACGATCAAATTGACAACTTGTAGCAACCCATTGAACCACTTGTATACATACACAGTATTTGTGTAATTTTAGTTTATGTTCTTGATAGTCTGCTCTGCTGTGTCATTTAACTGATAATGAAGTTATGATAAATTTATTTGAAAGCACAATTTTCTTTTGAACAAAAGTTATAGTGAAAAATAAAAATTTCTTCTTGTTTGTGGATATTAATAAGAATCTTGGATAGCCATGCACTTGCTCTTTTAGTAATTAAGAAAAGGGAAAAATAACTTGGGAGTGATCTAGGCCTTCTATCATGAATTAGGACCAGAGAAAATTTTATTTTTCTGTACTATAGTATTTAATTATACTTATTTTCATTGTTCAGTTATTATTTTTTGAGTCTATTAAAGTTAAAGTTATATTTTTCTTTCATTTCAGGGTATGCATCTGTGAAAATTACTAATTGGGTAGAGTGAACAATATGCTGTGGCTGAGTTTATCGATCGATGTGTTCCGTTATGTTATCTCGTTGAATTTGTACTGCAGGGTTATTCTATAATTTGTTATATCTGCTTTTAACCTAAGCATTATTTTTATTGTTCCATTAATTAACTATCCATGGGATCCAGTCACCCTCCTTCCTTTGTTTGTTTTATCTATATTCTTTAAGTTTAGTCATTTAAGCGTGCAAATTTCTATAGTTCAAACTATTGTCATCTTCATTTCTGGATCAAGTTCACAGGCTTTGTAGTTTTGATTTTGTTCAACTCGTTTGTATTTTCTCGTTCATCAAATTGATAATATCCCATATTTCCACCTCTGTTTCTTAGCCTTGTTTCCCAAGTCCATCTTTATCTTTTTGTGGTGCTTCTCATTTGCATTTGCATAGAATTTGAAGTTTGTTCAAGTTTCAAAAGAAGTTATGGTGTGCCAAGGAGCAAGCCAGACGAGATTTAAGGCATTAAAACATGAAAATGGGATTGCTGGGAGAACAACCATTATAGTTAGAGTTATAGCATGCTTTCAACCTTTGCAGATTTGCCAGGTGAGTTAAAGTTTATTGTAGTTTTGGTTGTGATGTCTCATATTACGTCTCATAAAATTTGATTGTTTAATCAAGGAACTGTTTTTCATATGCTGGTTACATGTTTTTGTAATTAATGTTAATTGAAAGGCTGGTAACTTTTGCCGTGTTCTTCTGCTCCCAGGCCGAATATTTCCGTCAGTTGTTAAAACCTGTTACGTAGATTGATCCTGAGTTTCTGTCATCACACCAAGCAAGCAATACAGCATTTTCTACCTCTCTTATTAAGCATTTGTGAAAGTAATTAATTTACCGGTGAAACCTGAGCATTATCCTGGTATTGTTATAAAATTCTGATGGTTCTCGCAAAAATTTTCTTGAGTCATTTCAAGAGTTAATGAGTGACAATTCTCATCCTAATTATATACAACAGGTTGTTTTAGCTGGATGGTTACATCCAGAGAGTTACAGACTCATCAGCACTTTTCTGCATGGAATTTTCCATTGCCCACTTCGGACTGCATGGCACTAATGCAGCCGGGGCAAATCTATAGTTCGCCGCGTCCTCCTCATTCTTCCAGATCTATCGGCATGGATATTTCACCATGTTCAGTTTCTGATTTACCTGATACGAACTTGGTACAACTAAATGGAGTTGATGGGTTCTTCAAAGGTCTATCTCCTCTTTGGGAGAGTTCATCTCCATCCATACATCCACATTCAAAAGATTCTCAGTGTGCTGTACCCCATGGACGCAGGGTTGGTGCTAGCATCATTGATGCTTCTCACACTTGTCTGAAAAGGTTCCTCATTGTTGATCAGTCCAGGAATCACACGAGATTGTTCTTTAACCCTTTTCCTTTTCCTTCTCCTCAAAATCAGATTGTTTCTTCTAAGACTCCTGGTGTTCATGCCTCGTGTAATGAGAAGCTAGCAGTTCAAGTAGAGAAACAATCATTGCTGATGTCTGTTATTCAAGAGAAGTGGAATGAAAATCAGTTAACCGATGGGGGAAGTGAGATGCATGAAGACGCTAAAGAAATCGATGCTTTACTTTATTCTGATACAGATGATGAATTTGATGAAGATGATGCTGATCAAGAAAATAATGAAGTAACTAGCAGGGTGCGTACTCCATTTGGCACCGAAGAGGGTTATGACGAGGACATACAATTTGAAGAGCTTATTGAAGAAGTTGCGAGTTCCGATGGCTCGACTAAAAGGCGAAGATTGCTTGATGGTAGGTACAAGTTATCATCTTTGTTGGTCGATGAAGGCCCCATAAAACTGGCTACTTCATGCAACTACAAAGATGATGCTGAGTCAAGTGTTGTCCATGAGATAAACTCCTTTGGTGATTCCAGTTCCACAAAAAGATTGAAGAAAGTTAAAATCTGCAAGACGCTGAATATTTTCAAGAGTATTATTCCCGGGTTAAAAAGTAAGGATCCACAGTTGATAATCGATAAAGCTATCAATTACTTGACATCCTTGAAATACGAGGCCGAATCCACCAGAATTAGCTATCCTCTAGTTTTTAATGGTGCTGTTGGTTGATCAGTTAACTTTAGACAGAAGGGTGTTGAGTATAATTATTGATGGATTTGAAAGTATCAAGATAGCTTTTCCTTTAGTGAAACCTTTACCATGATTTTCACTCTAAAAAGTGAAAAGTTATGCAGTATGAACCAATAAACAAGGAGCTTAATGGGACGAATTTGGCTCTTTTACTCTCATTATTCTCAAGTGGTGAAGAAAAATTGAGCTCTACAGTTCCTTTAATGATTATTTTTAAGCCTTTTGGGGATTAAAGAAAATATGAAAGATTTTACGGTGTGCTGTGCTGTAAAAGAGGACCCCTTTTTCTGCGATGGATGATCACACCCTGGATTAAGAGCATGCGCATTTGGTGAATTGGTCCCACCATCCAATCTCAGTCACATTTGTTTCTTGATTTCATGCCTTTCACCCCCTGAAAATCTTATCTTTATGAAGGTTCTTATTGAGGGAGACCCCCAAAAGATTAATCTTGAATTTGTTTGTTTCCCACATGTGAGCTTTTGCTGTTGTAATTTTTGTTTGGAGTGAATCTGTGTCTTTGTATTCTGCTGTAAGCAAGTATTCTTGTACTAAATAAATGATGGTTTGTGTATGTTTTCAGTTTGCCATTATTGCTTTAATGTTTTCGAGTGGATAATTTATGTAGCTAATTTCAAATTTATTGAGAAAAATACTTTGTTCGATGTTGTGTCTTTGCTTTAGCCTTTTGATCTCTTAACGCCTTTTACGTTATGTTAGTGGAATCTAATAAAAATCGATGTGCAAAATTGCCTTCTTATGAGAAATGGCTCTCACACTTTGCTTTTCTCAAGTTTGGCGAAAATATGAGATTAGTGAATTAAAACTCTATTCGATAATAATGTATTTATACTCGAATGCTTTTTCTGCTTTGATTTCATGATTGAAACATTTAAAGTTTATATCAGTAGCTTAGAGTACCTTTATAAAACTCTTTATTTATAAAGAGCATCTTTTGTGCAATGTAGAGTTTATTTAAATTTTGAAAGTAAAATTTTTTACACACTACAAAAATGTTATCTATTTTGACTCTTAATTTTGCATTTTTTAAGAAACTAATATTGATTTCTCATTATATTTTATTTAACAGATTTTCCTCCCTATATTTGAATGACTAATAAATTCAAATATGATTTCAATAATTTAAAAAGTTGAGTATTAAAAATTGTAAATTATTAAATTCAATCATTATAATGTAAGAATAGAGAATGCGTTTGGCTTATTTTTAAGCATTAAATCTCTAAAATAAAATAACTCCATCAAAATTATACTAATACTAGAAATTTTTTATATGCATCATCTTAGGATCAACAACTCGGGGGGTCGACCTTTCCAAACTGCAATGGAGGTCGCCAACTTAGATTATGAGCTTTCTCAAGATCTGTTCAACTCGTCCACTTATATCTTATGTATATAAATCTTCATTTATATTTTAAGTTGCCATGAACAAAGGTTTAAATATGGAAGTCAAGTTTTAGGTTCGTGTTCTTATTTTTTTTACCTGATGATGCAGGAGGGTGGTTCAACAAATTAATGGCAGGAAAATTTTAACAAATTTATTCTCAGTTTTTTAGCATTCGTATGAAAAAGATTGCCAAGATGTCAAATTCTAACTATTAATTATATAGGCAAGTATTGACTTAATTGACACAGCTTAGAAAAATATTCCCAAGAAAATGATCAAACTGATGTCATTACTAAGATATGTTGATTAATTAAACATCATTTTATGTCTTAAAGTGATTTATAATTTTTATTTTAATATTCTTTGATTAATTGTTGATTATTTTATATAAGTACATCTTCATCCGCGTGACTATCTACTTCTCTTTCGATTAAAAAAAAAAAAATGTGTATAAAATGCTTTTATTGAAAAAAATAAATAAAATTCCGTATCTGAAAAGCATCATCAATGACGAAAATTTTGATGGGTTATGTTTAGTGACGGATACGAGAATTTGTTTCAAAGATTTGCGGAGACAAATAAATAATAAGGATTTTGTCATTTGTACCCGAAGCGTTACACTCTGGGTTACTCGCCCCTCATATGGGGGGTAGGGTCCCACACCCAATAAATTCGTGGGACCCGTCCCCCATGTGAGGGGCGGGTAACTCGGAGTGTAAAGCTCCGGGTACCTGTAGCAAAATCCAATTAATAAATCGCCTCGCGCCTTCTCTATTATATGCAATGTATTCTTGCTTTATCTGTAGCTTTTGAGCTAATATAAATAAATAAAAAATAACTAAAAATTTGATACATATAGCAGTCATGAGGGAAACTTCAGTAGGGTGGTCACATCGCCACGCCACTGTCCTATCAGGGTGCTCCACCTCGACGAGTGGCCCGCCCACACAAACCCCGAGGTGTGTGGGCCACCTGTCGAGATGGCGCCTCGACATTGGACGATCGCATCATTCACGTGGTGTGACTGTCCCACTGAAGTTTCTCTTAGCAGTTATAATAACGATGAATACATGATTACAAAATGTTGGCTCTCACGAGAATATATTTAGATAAAAATTGATCCCTTGTTTGAGCCCCATTTTAGAGAAAGAATATATTTTGGAATAGTAAATTAATAAGAATGTGTGGTTAAAAATTAAGGAAAAATTTTAGATTTACGTATCGTATTATTTTATTGGATAATGTGTGGTTGAAAATGAATTTTAAAAAAAAATGATTTTTTAGAAAAATAGGGTACAAATAATGGCTGAAGAAACAACTTTCAAAACGGCAGTTTTTTATTTTAATAAAAATTTCCCTCCCTAGGAAATGGTGTCGACTGCTCTCCTATAATCAGTAAAACCTAATTGCAAGTTAAATTAAAATTAAACCCTAGTCCTTCAACTCCTAAAGTATATCAAAATGTACCTAATAAGTGTAGTTTCTATACTTATTTGGTATTCTAAATTATGATATATTGTTATTCTTTGGATGGGATAGTACCTAATTTGCTATTTATTACTTTTATTAGGAAAAGAAAATCATGTTTCAATGAAGAATTGGAAGAAAGAACGAAAAAGGGCTAAAATGAAGCAAATTCAAAGTTCGGGGACTAAAATGTAAATACTCAAAAGATGTTTCGGACCTCACAATGAAGATTTGAGAGTGCTTTGGGTCAATTAGATGAAGAAATAAGTCAAAGGGGGGTCAATTAGATGAAGAAAGAAGTCAAAGGGATGAATTATAGTCAAAATATTATCATACATCAACTACCGAAAAAGTTATGCTTCGAATTTTTAGTCTCATATTGAGACCCAATTTTGGCATAGTAAACATTCGAATTGGAAAAATAATACCCTAGAAAATTGTAGCCTTTTGAATAAGTTTTCAACACATTTTGAATAACCTCAATTGTATATCGAGAGAGGAAGTTCTGGCAAAAATATTAAAAATTGTTTGACTGTCAAAAATTATGCAAGACGCATGTTCCCAAACAAAAAATGAGCGATCAAGGCACCCAAGGCTCCTGGCGCATGCCCTAGATTACACTAGGCGCACACCTCATTGGTAAACGACGAAAAAATCTAAGTTTTCTTATTTTTTTTGGTAAGCAACATCCTTGGCATCATATAAATAGAAGAACACATCCAGACCTAATTTGATCATTGAAAACTTCCATTCAACCTAAATTTAATCATATTCTACATATTTTGAAGACAAAAAACAAGTCTATATATCAATTCAAGGCGAATCATACAATGATTTTGAAGATTCATAGCTCGATTTCAAAATTTGAGCCCAGAACGTAGATTTCTCATACTTCTTCCATCTTTCTTATTTTCGGGTGATGTTTTTTCAATTATTCTTGTGTAATTTAATTATAAGTACGTTAGACTAAGTTTTTTTTTATTATATTGGATGAATGCTGAACCCTATTGTTTGTTTATTTTTTATTTAAGATAATTAATTTAGTATTTCATGATTTTCTTGTTTGGTTTTGCAACTATTTGATTGATTGATCACTAATTAAATAGTAAGTTGCTTGTTGTAGTATATGAATACTCACAATAAATCAAGAACGTGACAAAATAAATACATGGGCAATAGATATTAGGAATAATTTCTATGGCATGTGCAATCACGTGTGATAAATCCTGTGAGTTAATGCATATTTTTCATATGAATTTGAACTAGGAATATGATTGGATCGTGTTAAACATATATTTAAAATATCTTGGAAAAAAATATTGAATAAGATTTATCTTGAATACATAAATTTACTAAATTATGAATTAAGAATTGAATTAAATGGCAACACGGAGGTTCACGATTCCAATACAAACATTCACATTAGATTTAATCACCTTTTGTCACTTTCTTAGAGTAGAATTATAATAAATAACAACCAAATCACAACCCTTTTGGTGTCACCACATTTCGAATTTAATAGCAGCTATTCAACTATAAATTAGACCTTATTTCTCGTGGGAACAATACTCTTAACTCACAAATCTTATTACTTACACAACGATCCCGTATGTTTGCAGGTTTTCTACGAATAATACCCTTTATCAATATTGCATTTTCATCCTCATCAATTAAACTAAAACAAAGTATTTACCTATTTGTATATATTACTTTTTGTCCTTGCGTTTTTTTCCTTTTTTTTTTTTTGGTTTTAAAATTTGTTTTATAAAGGTACATTACCTATTTAACTATCAAAATGTTGGACGTGTAAGTTGCACAAACCTATCTAGTGCTAAGTTAATAAAATTCGTCCATAAGATTCGGATATGTTACCGAATTAGAGATGGTATAATATTTGAGGGTTATAGACTCATTCCTAAAGGTTAAGGATCTTATTTATAAGTTTCCTTCATTTTGCAAAATTGTGACGCTGAGATAGGCTGAATTGAGATAGGCTGAATTTGACTCGATTAAGGAAGACATTAAGGAAATTGATAAAAAAATTTCATTGATTATGTCTAAATTTCTAACTTGTCGAATTTAACATATGAAAAAGGTCACTCTCTAATGACTTGAATTCTAATGACTCGACGCATTACCAATTATGACGGGAATTTTCAATAAAAAAATGACAACTTTATTAAAAATAAAGTTAATTTATTAAATCATTCCAAATGTTTTTAGATCATATGGTGCATTAAAAAATTACTAAAACTAATTCTAACATGCAATTAAAATTGGACTAATTAAAATTATAATGTTACTTCAAAACGTAATAAAATTTTTAACAAATAAACAAATACGCTCAAAAATTAAAATGCACTTAGAAATTCTAATATTTCTAATGGATAGAGCACAACGTAATTGGGATTCGTTTGGTTCAATGGCACACTCATCCATCAACCGTCGCCCACTATGCACAATTTTCACCTGAAATTGTAAATAAAGAAGAATGACTATAATGAATTATACTCCGTGAGATTCTTACCATTTCACATTCAAATTAAGCATGAAATTATCCACAAACTCTCTTACAAAGGTTATCCCCTAAATTAAAATTTTTCTGTATATTCTTTGGACAAATAAAACTCGAGTCTAACTTGACCAAATTAATTTGTTCGTGAATCCATAATTCGCCATTTAATACAAGTTTTGAAACGTGCTTAGTATTAATAGGGTAATTCTAACTCTTTCAATAATTAACTATTTGGCCAAATTAGATAAAAGTATATAATTTAATATTTATTTCCACTTTGGTCCCTCAACTAATAAGGCTATCCATATATATCTAATTAATTATTGAGTATAACAATTGACTTGCAAAATGACTAGACTTGACATGATAATTCTATCAAATAGAAAATAATTTATATGTGACTAGTGAAACTTTGGAATTCTACAACCCCATCCTCCTTAAAGTAATTTTGTCCTCAAAATTTAACTTATATATAACTTTCCCACGCTTTCACTGCTTGACTTTGATATTTTTAGTCCTATCTTTTTTATTTCAAGATGAGAAGTGCACTTGTGATATCATTAATGAGAACTTCCAAAAACTTCTCATATCCCATCTTAAGATGTATCGGTCTGCCTTTAATACCGTTCCCTCAATTTCTAACTTAACGTCTATAATCATTTGGTTGGTATTAATGAATTTTCGTAAAGGGGTACTAACATTCAAGACGTTATTCGTTTTCTCACATTTATCCCCAAACTTATCCATAAAAACAATTGAAATAATTGAATCCATAGATCCAGAATACATAAGAACAATAGTAGATATATCAGATATAGATAACATACCTGTTATTATATATATGTCTTGATTCTTCTCTTCTTCCGTTAGATCAAACACTCCAATCATTTCTTTCTTAGTTTGGCCACCGCCCCTCTTCTTCTCTTGACATTTTCTAAGGAAATGATTGGTCGTACAACAATTGTAGCATATCCCTTTTCCTTGAAGACACTCACCCAAGTGTCACTGGTTGCACGTGGAGCATACTAGGAAAGCTCTGTTTGAGTTTAACCAAACATTTTCCTTTTTATTCTGACAATTTCCTTTTTCTTCATCGTGATCCTACAGTTTCTCTTCACTGAAGACCCAACACTTGGTTGGATTTTCTTCTCCAATCCTAAACCATTAGAGATTGCTTGTGCTCAATGGACAACTCCTGCATAATTAGTATATTGCTGGGCTGCCATGATTCCTTTAATCTCTGATCGTAATCCCATTTTCAACCTCTTGGCCTCTGTTAGCTCAGTGTTAAACATATGCGGTGCATATCTAGGTATCTGTTCAAATTTTCTTTCATACTTTCCTAGCAGCATATTTCCTTGCGTGAGCTGAAGAAATTCCACTCCGTGACCCTTCAATAATTAGGGAAAATATTTACCCACCAAGGCTTATTTATATTGTTTCCAGGTGAGATTATGTCATTGCTTTGTAGACCTTCTAAGCCTCTTTGCAATCCATGTGCTCGAAAATCCTTTCAAGTGTTCTTAGCCACTCATGACAGTGAAATAATCATCTTTGCAGTTGATGGATGGGAGTTTAAAATGATGAAACTACTCAACTATCAAGCTCATCGTGTTGGCACTTCCCATTACATTATGAGGTGGCGCTTGAGTCTTTTGCCTGCGCAAGTCTTGCATTACCCTCAATAAATCTCCGAACGTAGCTACTTGATCTTGTTGTCATTGTACCTTTTTCTTTAAATAAAATAAACTTTTTCTTAGGACTTGCTTGGCTATACTATTCTCTTCCTAATGGTCTTTCCATTTCTAGCAATGATTGTCGTATATGTTATGCAACGTCTAACAAGTTATGCATTATATGTTAATCGTATGAGATTCTTATTGCTAATCGCACATTCCCATGCATAAATACTTACTACGCCTAATTAGCATTCTTTTTAAGCAATAAAATGAGGCGTGCGAGGAAAAATTCATGAAATTATGCAATTAACTAGCATGAAAGAAATTTATATAAAAGGTAATATCATACAAAATTTATCTTTCATACCTTGAAAATATTGGACGGTGGCAGATCAATGAGCCTTTGGTGTCAAGGATCTCGTTAATTTTATTATTTATTGACTAACTTCTTCTTCTTCTTCTTCTTCTTCTTCTTCTTCTTCTTATTATTATTATTATTATTATTATTATTATTATTATTATTATTTATTTATTTATTTTAATGCAGTGTGCTAAAAATAAGTTTTTACATTAAAAGTTTTGTAAATGCAAATCAGTAAAAAATAAATTCGACCATAAGTATCCAATAAAATGTTTGTATAACATGAATTTGAAATAATTATTTACCTAAGACTTCCATGTAATTTTTTCTTTCAAGTGTCTCACCATTCATGATGAACAATGACTACACTGTTCATGATAAACAATACCAAGGTCGCTATTCACTAGTAAAAGTGAACAATGTTGCCTTTTTTTATTGTTCACGTGAACAATGTTCAGGTAAAATTTCACCTATTTTGTTAAAGACATATTCCATACAAGAAAAAAATAAAATGTACATGTATATATATGTACACGTATAATGTACATATATGTACATGTATATGTACATTTGTATATATATGTATATATACATGTATAATGTACATGTACATGTACATTATACATATATGTATATGTATGTATAATGTAAATATATTTGTATATGTACATATATATGTGTGTGTGTGTGTTTATATATATGTATATATATAATTTCAAAATGACGAAGACATTCAATAAAAATGACAACTTTATTAAAATTAAAGTTAATTTATTGAATTGTTCGAAATATTTTGAGATCATATTCTGCATCAATAAAATTACTAAAACTAGTTCTAACATACAATTAAAATTTGACTAATTAAAATAATAATGTTACTTCAAAACGCAGTCAAATGCCCAAAAAATAAACAAATCCGTACAAAATTAAAATGGACTTAAGAAAGTCTAATATTTCTAACGGATAAAGCACTACATGATCAGGATATGCTGGTCCAATAACACATCCAACCATCTGTAGCCATCCAGTTTGATAAGTTACACATGAAATTGTAAATAAAGAGGGATGAGTGTATCTAGCTATACTCAATGCAATACTTGTTATTTCACATTCAAATCAAACATGAAAATTATACATAAACTCTCTTACTAACATAAATCGAAAATTATCACACTATGGAAAGTGACAATTCAAGCCAACGTTGTTAAATAACATGAAAACTAATACTCGAAAGTAAGCCTTAAATTGTATTATGATTTCTCCCGAAGGAGTTCTAGACTGAAAGTAATTATATTCATATATAACAATATATTTGAAGAGATATGAACAAATCATTAAGGCCCTGTTTGATTGTTGGAAATTTTCCATGGAAAATGGAAAATCAAACCCATTTTTCATCTCTTGGCTGTTAGATACCTTTTTTTTTTTTTTTCCCAAGGAATTCATTTTCTTGGTTGTCTCGAGAAGTAGCAATTTTTCAAGTTTTACTAGAATTCGAATTCTCACCAATATGGTGAGAATTCGAATTCCAGGCCACAATAGCGATTTTTTTTCAATATTTTTTTTCTGGTTGACAATGGAAACAAATTTTAAGAATTATTGTAAAAAAATTTCTCTTTAATTGACAATTTTCATATAAAACAAGGTCAAACTAACACCAAAAGATAGATGATTTTCTTGATTTTTTTTGTTGGCAATGGAAACAAATTCCATCCCTTTAATTAACAATTTTCATATAAAATAAAGCCAAATGAACACCAAAAAATACTTTTATTTCAACATTTTTCACATGAAAAATTATACCAATCAAACACAATAATTTACATTTCCCAGGGATATAATTTCTAGGCAATTTAATTCCCTGAAATTCGTTTTCTTTCTATCCAAATTTCATCTTTCATCTTTGCAATCAAACGGACCCTAATAGCACTAAGCACCTCACTACTAGAAATACGAATTTGGAGAATAATATTGCAGAAATCGGATTTCTTTATTAATCTAAAGACCAATATTTTCTATGCGCTTTGGCTATAACGAGGTCCCCTATACTTTGCAAAACTGATATTTTTTTTTATCGGTAAATGTGAATTAATATTGATCAAAATGAAATACAAATACACCCGGCATTCCCGGATTTACAACTCAAAATCAAGTACATATGCACTTACAGTTACAATTACACCAGGCTTTCCCGGGTAAAACCAAAGGAGAAAAAATGGCGCGTCATTACAATCTATAGACCCATAGCTAAGGATTGTAATTGAACCAAAACATTCAGATACAAAGAAAACATAATTTTGTATACGTGTGTTTTGATTTGTTGAACAATGTTGTCGACATGCGGTATAAGGTCTTCAAAATCTTCTTATTCCTTTCCGTCCAAATGTGATAAACGGCAATCACAAGTGCAATACGTTTGGCCTTGCTATGCCAAGAAGTACCTCGAGTTTCCTTTTTAATCCATTTCATTGCGCTTGGAAGTGTAGACATAGATCTCCTAAGACTGACCCACAGACAGATTTTATCCCAAACTGATTGGCTAAATGTACATCCAAAGAACAAGTGACCCGCAGTCTCATCCATAAGTTCAATCTGTAAATAATGCAATCTGTCCTTAGTTAGCAGTGTAGATTTAGCTGCTAACCACATGATAAAAGCGTGTTTCGGCGTCACATATGCATTCCAAATGGAGGTATCCTAGATTACCTTTGTTCCTTTCGGCCTGAAATAATCATATGCATATGCAATATTGAATCTGCCATTAACTATCCAGCTGGTCAGATTCTGGACAGCAACCTGTCTTCCATTTCCTGTTAAGTTGGACAGATCTTTGTCGGCCACCTGGACATTGTTTACTGCCTGATTAATGTTGTCCCTAATGTCCTTTTTGAAAACAGTGGAGTCCTCTTTTCTCGGCTTGTATGTCCAAATACAACTCCCACGAAGGTAAACTGGATTGACCCATTTAATCCACAAGGTGTCTTTCTTACAATGAATATTCCAAAGTGTCTTTGCAAGTAGTGCAGAGTTCCAACTTTTGATGTCCCTAAGCCCAAGTCCACCTTCATACTTTGGTAGGCATATATTGCTCCATTCAACCAATGGTTTATTAGATCTCCAAAGAAAGTTTTGGCAAAGAGAAATGACTCTATAGGCAACCGTTGCTGGAATAGGAAAGATGGATAACCAAAAACATACAACCCCTTGAAGCAAGGACCTCACAAGCTCCATTCTTCCAGCATAAGATAAGGATGCCCTCGACCAAGCACCAATATAAGCTGTGATTTTGTTGATAAATGCATCATAAGTGCTGATTTTCAACTTTTACGCTGCAAGAGGAATACCCAAGTAGCGAAAAGGCATAGAACCTTTGGGGATGTTAGCAATCTCAATAATTTCCTCCATCTCTTGGCCATGAACCCCTGCCATGTACAAGTTAGACTTGTCAACATTCATCCTTAGCCCCGACATGTTGCCAAAGTTAGCTAAGCAATTCATCAAAATACTAACAGAAGTTGCATTGCCTCTAGCAAAAATCATCAAATCATACGCGAAAGCCAAGTGCATAATCTTTAGAAGAGCACATTTAGGATGGAAATTGAATTCACTATTTTCAGTAGCTCCCTTCAACATCCTAGAAAAATATTCAAGGCACAAGACAAATAAGAAAGGAGAAAGAGGGTCACCTTGCCGAAGCCCTTTTTTTCCTTTAAAAAAACCATGTAGGCCACCATTGAGAGCAATGGAGTACGTAAGTGATGTAACACATTCCATAACCCAAACAATGAAAGTAGTAGGGAACTTCAATCCCACGAGCACATTCTTGAGAAAATTCCATTTCACCTAGTCATAGGCCTTCTTTAAATCAATTTTAAGAAGGCACTGCGGTGAAACCCTCTTTTGATTGTAATGTCTCAAAAGCTCTTGATACCACAGAAGCGGCCTGAGCTTTATCAAAAGCTCTTAATGGACTCAAGAGTCGAACCCAACCGAGAAGCAAGTATCTTAGTGATGACTTGATAGAAAACATTGCAACAAGCGATTGGTCTATAGCCATCCACCGATGAAGAATGATTGGCTTTAGGGACCAAGGCAATAACAATATGATTTGTTTGCTTAAAGAGGGACCTAGAAGCAAAGAACTCACCAATAGCTCCTAAAAATTCATCACCAACAATATTCCAAGCCTCTTTAAAGAAATAAGATGTATAACCATCTGCCCCCGGAGACTTGTTATCACCAATGCTAAACAATGCATCCTTTATTTCTTGCCTAGAAACATCCCGAACAAGTGAAGTAGCATGTTCCTCTGTCAAAGAAGGTCCAAACTCTAGAATTTCAGCTTCAAAAGGCAGTCCAATGCTATCTTTTCCCAGTAACTCACTAAAAACATGAGCGAATTCATCGGCCACTTCTTTTTATGATGAGGTCTATGAGCCATCCCTTTTTAGCATAGCAGCATTGAAGTTTCTTTTGGTATTTCTCTTCACCATAGAGTGGAAAAACTTTGTACATTTATCACTATTATTCAAATATGCACACTTTTCTTATTGGAAGTAAAAACTTCTCTCCGCTTCACAAAGATTCATAGCTTCTTTCCTCAAACGTGCAACCTCATTTTGCAAATGACGATTTGTGGGATCATCATGTAAAACCAGCTAGGTTTCTTTTAAAACTTTAGTGGCTATCTCAGCTCTAGTAGATATGTGCCCAAAATGTTTGACATTAAGCTCTTTCAGTACTTCTTTAAGGCGTTGCAATTTTTTGCAAAGAGAAAATTGCTTAGTTCCCCGAATCTCAAGATTCCAAACACTATGTACAATACCATAAAAGTTCTCATGTTTAGTCCACATGTTGAAGAATCTAAAAGGTTTTCTTTTGTGCTCATCACATGCAAAAGTAGAAACAATGCAAGGTGAATGGTCAGATAGGCATCCCGAAGGTAGGAAATCCGCAAAACTAGAAAACCCCATTTGCATCCAAACATCATTAACCATAGCTCTATCAAGTTTACTCCACATAGAGTTGTTGGATCAGGTGTAAAAACACCCAATGGATCTCATATCCGTAAGTCCTACATTGAGGCAACAATTAATAAAGTCTTTAACCTCATATGGAGTCACATCGACTCCATTACATTTCTCATCAAAATTGAGTACATTGTTGAAGTTACCCATAATCAGCCAAGGCATAGAACAATCCAATCCAACCTTTGCGAACTTATCCCAAAGAGATCTACAACTTACAATTGTACGAGGACCATAGACAAAACTAACAAGAAATTTAAGAGATGTTACCTTACAAGTAACAATACAGTGGATGACTTGTGACGTAGTCTCCCACATTTCCAAGTCAACTTTTAAAGAGTTCCATAACACCAAAATTCGTCAAGCATGATGTGATGGAAAGTTGTTCATTTGCAATAGGTTGCCAAATTTATTCCGCATGATTCAGTCTAGCTTCGACATTCCCAACTTAGTTTCCAATATACCCATAACATCAATATAGTGTTGATTCATAAACTTCGAATCCCGTTTTGCTTAAGGGAACGCTTCAAGCCCCTTATGTTCCAAGTACCAATCTTCATGATGATGAAGGAAGGGAAATACCCTTCTTTCTAACCTTAGCGTAACTTACTCTTCTCGTCCTCCTTTCCTTTGATTTTCTCATTATTTGGTTTTTCCGAATAAACACTACCCAAATAAACACTACTAGTATCAATATCCTTTGAAGTAACCCCCTGCACATTAGCAAGACCTCCAGTCCTCAATATGTTAATGCCAACGTTAGCTGCTGAACAGTCTACAATCTGCCTGAAGATGTATGACTAGTTTTTGCACCTTTCTTTTTACCAACAACCCGTATAAACAACGCATCACCTTGCTCTTTCTGCTATACATGTACCACACCTGTCTGATTAGAACCAGCATGTGCTTCCAAAACTGCCTGTTTCGGGGCAATGTCAGCAACCTGTGTCGATTTCCCTGCGTTTGCCGAATTCCCAACCTGTCTCGGCCTCAGTATAATAGGCTGTTTTATGACATTACATGCTATAGTAACGTGTCCAAACATCTTACAATTTGCACAGAATTTGGGTTCGTGCTCAAATTCAACCTCTTGCACTCTCAATTTGCCCGTTGGAAGGTTCATAGCCACGAACCGAACCAACTCCTTGGAGGCATCAATTTTCACTAACACGCGTGCATAAGAGATTCTGCCCTTAGTAGCAGTGAGTTTGTCCATTGAGATTGGTTTCCCAATCTTAGATACAATTTTAGCCAAAGCTCTAGAATTCCAATAATCCAATGGAAGGCCTGGTAACTTCACCCATACCGGAATGGTGCATACCTCTTTATCATAGAATTCAAAACATCAGGGCATAACTTTAAGCATTAGCAGTCTACCGAATACAAAGTAAGGAGCACCTTGTATCACACTAGTCCTTGATGCCTCATCTTTAAATTTGAAAATCAACCACCCACTTCTATGTACAAAATATTGGTACTCAACCTTCCAAGAGTTATACATAAGGAGCAATGCTGCTTTTCCCCGAAAACGGCCAGCAAAATAACCAACAATACAATAACCCCATGAATCATCCACATTATCCACATCAACAGCCTCCAAAGTTATAACATCAGGTTGGTCCTCAATGGAACCAATTTTAAAACCTTCATTAGGACTCCTATCATCTTTGAATAAATTTATCCAAGGGGCATGGGCATCCTTATTCTCATCACTTTTACAATGATTATCATCCTGAACAACAGGTAGAGGTTCATTATTTGAATTTTCAAAGCTTGTATCCTCTTCTCCAAGAGTTTGGGAGACACTTGGTGAATTACTATCCTCACACAATCCGTTCCAAAATTTTTAAGAAGCATGAAGAGCATGCAAATTAGAAGCAATAGCATTAGAAGTTACATTCTGACCTTCCAGAGAATGTTGTGTTTGAACCCTAGAAGACGATACTATAGCCACTGGAGGAACGGTTTGCCTCTTGACCGACGCAATTGGCTTTTTAGGCCGAAGCTGATGAACTTTCTTCTTACCCACAATCAAACTTAAGCGACCCTGAGCTGGACTAGACCACCCCAAAATCTGCAAATAATCCATCCAGAAAAAAGAAGCAAAGTACTACAACCAAGCAACTGAAAGTGGCCAAACACGAAGAAGATAACTGACACAGATCAATACACACCTTAGCTGGAAGAACCCACCCAAAATCTGCAGAACAACCGACCAGAACAATCTGAAAATATCGTGGAACCGAGAGACCTAACTGAAAAGAGAAGCACCTCAATCCAACCGGTAGCATAAATTGAATCCCAAGAATACCACGTAGAGAACCACGAGCAAGTTCGAATTTCACTAATATAACAGCAAAATCCAAACCAGAAGCAGTATATTTTAATCAATTCCCACCAATGGATGTAAAATCAGATCAAATACAAGACAAAACGCAAGAGAAGAAGGCATTCAAGTGAAACTTTCTCCCACTAGAATTGAGAGCATCTCTCTCTAACCTTTTCAAACTCCTTGAATCTTGCAAAATCGATATTTTATATGTGTATTTTTGTGTGTAATAGAGGGGCAGTGAGAGAGAGAAAAGGACGGTTGACTACTGGGTAGATTTGCTAGAGGAAAATTAAATTGAGGTATAGCATAGCCAATCCCGCTACTCAACCAGGGATATAAACAAGGTTGGGAACCGACAATAAAAAAGTATTATGCTTGTTGTACATTGGGGGCTACATCCGGGTGTCCATAATAGACACCTGGCGCCTCTCCATTGGCTGAGACGCCTGTGAGCCCCTGCGCGGCAGGCGCCTCGACCAATAGAGAAGCGTCGGGGGTGTCTATAATGGACACCCTTATGTAGCCCCTAATGTTAATGTAGCAAGGTCTAATAAAAAATTGGTGTGGTGAACCACAATTATTCATAATTTATAAAATAAAAAAAAACTAACAGCATTTGTCAAAATAAAATAAAAGAAGAGTACTGCGGGACTGATTTCTCATTTGCTCCCAAACCCTGAAGAGTACTCTTGCCAGCGTGCCATCGTCGACCGACTGGAGCAACCATCGCCAACTGGACCCATCGCTGGCTGGAGAGCCGGTAGTCACCTGATGAAGAAGAAGGGAAAAAGTGGAAAAAAGGAACTCAATTTTCTCCCATTAATGATTTTCTAAAGAAATTAATAAGGTATTATGAGAATTTTGAGACACCCAAGAGATCTTAATTTCTTTTCCTTTCAAGTTCTCCAAAGACAGGTAAGATCTTGTGATTCTTTATTAGCCACCTCCATATGATCATATTTATTCATTAGGCTTCGCAGAAATTTTTCAATAACCTTTTAGGTTTTCAAAATTTCTATATTTGATGCCATAGAATTTGAAATGGAACTCTAGTATACTGGAATCTCAGTTGCTTGATATATTTGGAAGGGTGAATCGTGTCTTTTTGTGTCTTATTCTTTAGGAGATTTGTATGTGCTTTAGATAATTGATTTTCATTTTCTAGTTGTTTGTATTCCTTCAACAATATTTCATAAATAATGAGATTCAAGACACAATTCATTAGATTAATTTAGTAGTAAAAAATTTCTCCATTAAAACGAGTCACGAGAGAAACAAGATTATTGTTTGACATTATTTTTCTTTTCTTGGCTCTGATAGTAGTTAGAAGAAAAGAAGGCTTGGTAGATATATTATTATTATTATTATTATTATTATTATTATTATTATTATTATAAATTGCCTTTGCAAAATTATAAAGATTTTGGTAAATCAATGTGCATGTTCTATCTTTAAGAAGTCTCCTCCAATTACTAAGTCAAGTATTAAAATTCTATAAAACATTTGACTAAACAAGTACATGATTATTCTAGGAAATTTAATAGTCAAAATTTGGTTTATTATTCCAACATATATATTATGCTTGTTTTGTTTTGGATTCACTCAAAAGCCTAGCAAAAATGCATATTTGTAATGTAGTTATTTTAATTAATCTAGACTTGCCAAGGAGTCCCAGTCCCTTTTGAGCGTGGTGGAAAAAACATTCACAAAACAAGAGCCAAGAGCTTGGGTTTTGGTGAAAAGAAACAAACGGCATCTATTATTTTTGTATGATTTCTCTGCTTCTTAAATACAATATAATCATTCGCCTCAATTATATAGCCCCAGTTTGGTATTGACTTAAATAAGATTTTAATTTAAGTCAAAGTAAAACAATCAATATTAACCATATTTTTTATCGGTCTTACAACTTTTTAATCGTACTTTCCAAAAATTTCTATCAAAATCTACAAAAAATTTTTTCATAGCTTGCGATTTATTTTCTATTAAAAAAGAATATATGTGATGGAAATAAATCCATTGCAAATCATTGACAGGATTTATTTTGTTGAATTCTTGCCGGGTCTGCTGCATACCCTATACCTAAAGGCAATTTTGCTGAATTCTTATGTTATTGCTAGTGTTTAAAATTGCGAATTGGATTGGCATGTGTTCTTATAATGGGTTTAGTGTTGCAACCTTGGGAGTTTTAATTCTTGTTTCTTCCATAAGGCACTTCAACTTTGGACAGTATTCATTCATACTTTTGTAGTTACTAGTGCTGATGTTGGTTCGTATGATACCTTGTTTGTAGTTACTAGTGCTCAAGAAGGAGAAAATTGTTGCAAATGTGGACGCTAAAGGGAAGCTGCCGGCTTGACTTGAAGATACTTATCAAAGTGGCTAGCCTAATTTTCTCAATTAAAACTAAATCAGCTTGTCCTTATTATTTGTGGAGGTTGAAAGTCTTGTATGTGATGAATTAAGCAAAGTAGTTGAGCTTTGTGGTGCGAGGTTTTGTATCGTGATAGCTTGGTATCAAAACAAGCATCTTTTGTAGGCAAACATTTGTACTCTCACGGCTTACTTACAATTTATGTATGGTACTTAATTTATTTAATACCTTTCCATTCAAATTGTTTATGTATTCCGAGTTCACAAGCTTAAATGAAGGCAAACATTGGCTGCCTATAATGTACGAAGCCCAGGTTCCCTATAATTTGGTGATGCGAACCCGTGGCTACTGGCATCTCACTTGGACATGCCGAACATTGAGCTTGCAAACAATTAATTGAAATCACACCCGGATATGTTTGAATGCCACAAGATGCTAGATCTTGATAAGTTCGATATTTTGAAGCATCACACCTCGACAGAGAAAATTCTCAATTTTCATTCATCATAAAACTCGATTACAATTGAAGAATAAAATTCTATTTATACTGAATACCTAAAAATAATTAAAAAGGAATTAAAATACCTAACACCTATTTTTAATTAAGGTAAAACACGTCCCAAAGATATTAAAATTATTAGAGTCCCAATTAAACAAGGGGACAAATATTAAGGGATCACAAAGTTGTCTACCATCAAGGAATCCTATCACTGTTGAAAATTGTCGAGATTGTGGAAAATTCTACACGTTACTGAGTGTTGTGACGGCATTGCTTGGATGGATGCGGTCGCATAGCATTATCAATTTCCTCCTGCCAGTTTTCGGTATAGGTTCCCGCGACCGCAAGGCTTGTGAAGGTATGCGATCGCATAGGCTCTGAATTGCTGTCCCGATCTTTAATGTTTGACACAATTAATTCCAGGTTGTCCAGCTTGGTTCTTTGGTTGCCCACAGTTTAACAAATGATATAAAAAAACTCTATTTCATCCAATTAGCCCAAAGTGTTGATGAATTTCAAGAACTGCAGGCCAAAGGACACCCCAGCTGGTCTGCAGGAAGTTCTTATTTCATTTAAATAAGTAGAATAATTTAAAAGGCCACTAGCTTCTTAAAATGATGTAAAGAAACAGATATTATTACTTAAACAAAATTAGTTATTCATTTAATGCAAAGGGTGAAACTAAACAAAAGTCGAACATTGTTATGGCAGCTACATCGGCTCCATGAAAGTATGGCAAAATGAGTTTACAAATAACAGCTTTTTTTCTAATGGCGACCAAATCATTAAACTTGCAGAAGAAAATTCTCAATTATCACAGAAAGCAGAAAGACTTAACAATTCAGCTATTATATAAGTTGCTCAAAAAGCAATGAACAAAACAAAAGAAATTTCCATTGAATTATCACAACAATTACCTGATACTAATACACTATGAGTAGTAATTGCCCAACATTTCAAAAAAATTCCGCCAACTAAAACCTGTGAAGTTGCCAAAATAGGCAAAGTAGTAATTGCCTTAATACCAGGAAATGCCAAAATACATCTTCATTTGAGTACTGTGAATTGGAAGTCTTGATTTCAAACAAATTTCAATCGCGCAGACATAGCACCCCTTCTATAGGCTGCCACTGTGATCCAATAAATTTTGAAAGTAGTTCGCCGATGGTTGACCTACAATAGAGTACCATAACAAATAGTTAATCATGTGTTCACAACAAAATGAATTTTAAAACCGTCTACAACATTGGTTTATACCTTGTGAATTTTGCATGATACTAGCCGCGGATGGAGAGACCAAATTTCCAAAGGGTACACATTGGGAAAGGGAGAACGGTGTGGGCATGGACAGTTGTGACAAAGATAATGGTGTCAACATGTCATTGGGCAAGTATGACTACGTGTTAACGTTAGGTATCTCAATACTCCGTCCTCCCCCTTTTCGAATTCCTTTTTTTTAAGAGAAAACCAACGGCATAAGCTTATTTTTTTGTAGAAGTTATACATATATTCTTCATGCTTAAATAGCATACCCACCTTAGGCACTTGTAACCCATCCCCCCTGATGTTTCGTCTTCGACTACATTCACAAACTCCGTAATATTCTCAGTATCGGATTCCATCAAAACATCAACAGGCTTATCATCTACGTCTTCCATACTTTATTTTGCTGCAAAAACAAAAAGGGTCATTACAGCAGTATTTGACAAGAACCATAAAAATTTGAAAGACAAATCCCAATTTGGCTCTCTATCTGTCTTCTACAATTTCTTTACTTAATATATGACTCAAGCAAATTGATTCTAAACCATTCAGCATAATCAAGAAAGACACAATGACGCAGATAAAGGCAAGCCATTGGAAAAACATACATTGATCTTCACAAAACCCTTAAAAAAAAAATACAGAGTACTGTGTGTGTTTGTATCCAAATAAAAGGAAACAAAACCCTTCAAAAAAATTAATATTGTTATTTGTTGGGAGGTGAATGAACAAATAATAGAGTAGCTCCCAAATCCAGTTTTGGAACAAACCCCGTGATTCTCAACGCAAGGCAGCTGCAAAAATGGACAAACAACTATTTCTCATCAACATAACAGGACCAATCCCAGCAAAACTTGGAAAACTCTCAAAGCTCCAGACTCTTGATCTTTCTGATAACTTCTTTAATGGAATTATTCCTTCTTCACTATGGCGAAGTTTAAACTACTAAAAGGACTTAACAACTCCTTTTCGTACAGTGAAATGTACAAACAACTATTTCTCACCAAAATAGATTGAAGGAGCAGGGATGATCGGAGATGGAAGGATTACCGGTGAAGATGTTCTGATCAACGATGGGTGCTCCGGTTGGCGATGGGTGTGGTGGTGGGAGCGAGGGAGGGTTCGCAACTTATGTTTCCGCTTTTGCTTCCTCGTACTGTGGCCGTCCCCTTTTGTTTAGTTTCTTAACCCTTTTTTTTTTTTTTTTTTTTTTTTTTTTAATGTGCAATAAGTGCCACGTCAGCGGAAATTCAAATCCCTGTTTTTATCCCTGTTTTCATCCCTGGCTGATTAGCAATTTCCATAGTAGTGCAATCTCGTGCCTTCCGAAATAATTTTGATTGAAGTGCTTTAAAAGTTTTAGGACTTGGAGTCTATCCCAAGCTAACAGATTTTGGCCAACTCAAACAAAAGTAATTAGTTTTTAATTTAAATTAATATTAGATACTTAGATTAGGTTAATGATATTGGATAAATTTTATAATTAACAATAAACTATAGCAGTGGCCGAAAATCTGATGAACGAAAGGATATTAATTATTTATTATTTCATTTACATTTTGATTCTTTTATTGATTTTATCTTAATTCAAACTTATCCAAACAAATCTTTTTTTGGAGCTTAATATACATGATTAAATGCATGTACTAAACAAGTCTAATATGGCATAGTAATTTGGTTTAAATCGAAGCTATTATTATTCACTAAGTAATTTTCTTAATTAAACCTAACTAATCCATTTTCATTAATATACTGGCGAAATTATAGTTTCCAATTCAATGCTATGCAACCTAACTAGTTTAAATTAATTGGAATCCTTGATTAATTAAGAAAAAAATTTAGATTTGTGTGTAATATTATTTTATCGAAGAATATATGTTTAAAAAGAAGAAAGAAAAAATATATTTTGAAAATAATGAGGGTCAAGCAAGAGCTATTAATTTAGTTAGAAAAATTGCAACTATTCAAATCCTACGTGATTAAGGATTTACATTTGATTTCTATTTTAATTAAAATAGATTAGGATAACAAAAGTCACTAATAATTATCATAAAACTAGCATCCAAAATAAAATAAGAATTCACTTACGGGGGTGTCCAGTGTCCTCAAATGAAATTTGATGATTTTTTAAAAATTCTTCTAAATTCAAGTGTCCCTAATTGAGATCTTAATGAATTTTAAAGAAACTTATTAAAATCTCGGTGCACTCAACTAAGATTTTAATGAATTTCAATAGAATCATTTAAAATTTTATAATCTTTTAAAATTTATCAAAATTTTTGTTGAGGACATCGGTGAAAATCTTTTAAAAGTGAAGTAGTTGCTATTTAAAACTCATGAGTGCGTGCCGTAAAAAAATGAGCACTTATGATAAGACTTTATACTTCGTTCATATGTAACCGTAAAAAAATTTTTATGACTTACAATGAACATTGTAAAAAGCAAATTCTATTGTAGTGACTTTAACATAATTTTATATTATCTAGTTCCACAGAAGTTGTTACTGGTTGCTGAGGGAGGTCAGGGAAAATATTGGAGTCACTGGAAATTTTGGCCAGAAAGGGTGACATCACTCACATGCTATGGGTCCCGCAGAAGTAAAAAAATAATTTTTTTCCTCCTTTTTTGTCATGGCTTTTGTTAGGGCCTAAGTCATTGTAGCAAGTCCTGAGAGGTCAGTAGTCGTTGCTGCCATTTTTTTGCCTGTATTTTTGTCTTGTGTGTGTGTGGAGGGATTTGTGCAAATGAAAAAAAAAAAAAAATTTATTGTGGTTGTATATATAATGGATTGACCAATGTAGTGATGACAAAAAAATTCGTCTCGTCTCAACGGGGCCCTGCCCCCGAATGGGGGCAAAAAAGTCTGCCCCGACGAGTTACCAATATAGGGATGCCCCTCCCTTAACCTGCCTTGTGAAGAGAAAAAAATTAAAAATAATTTTACTTCTAGACAATTCACACATTAAAATCTCATTTTGAATTTGTATTTTATTCTCTAATAATAGCATAATTCGAAATTTTAAAAATGTAATAAATAAATGAATGGGGCAAGCTGTCGAGGACGTGTCGCCCCGTTGCCATCCGTAGACCAGTGGCCTTGCTCCTATTAATTGACTGTTATGTAGAAACACGAATTGGTACAATTAGAGTTCTTCTTCTTCTTCTTCTTATTATGATCGTCATCATCAAAGACGAGACGTAGACGATATTTATAAATGTGTGTCAAGATTTAAAACCTAAAATTATGTTGTTCTAAAACTTATACAACGTAAACAAAATAATGTTGTTTCAACGTTCAATATAATGCTCATGAAAAATTAGTTTACAATCTTACATTTTGAAGTGTTGGTGTGACACAGAAATGTAATCTCGTGTCCATCCACACAATTAATTATTAGCAGTGTTCTAAAATGTATAAAGCGTAACTAAGATGAATAGACCAAACTTCAAGCTACGAGTCTAGGAGTATAAAAGCATAAAACATGTCTAAATGATGAAGTTTAGACGAGCATTTTAGAATACTAATTATTAGTGCATGTTTACCAAAGCTTAATTTTTTATAATTGATTGATTATGTCTCTATGCACACATTTTGTAGAATCATAATTTATTATTAAGGTAATTAGCAAAAAAAACGTTCTTACTTTTTAATATTTGAGTGCAAAACGTCCATACATTTCATTTTTTGACATTTTCACCTCTATTTTTACATTTCATTGCAAAAAAAAAAAAAAAAAAAGTCCTTTCAATCTAATCAACAAAAAAATGTAAAATAACAAATACACCTTCCTATTTAAAAAAAGAAAAAGAAAAGAAACATTAAAAAAATTTGTAATTATACTTCCAAACTTTTTAAAAACTGCAAATGAGTTCGAATAAATTATTAAAAGGGTAGTTAGTACAAAACGTCCTTACTTTTCAATATTATTGTGCAAAATGTCCTCATCTTTCATTTCTTTTGGCATTTACAACCTTATTTTCACATTTCATTGCAAAATTCATCATTTTCATCTATTTTTTAAATTAAAAGTTGTAAAATGACGAATATACCCTACTATTTAAATAAAATAAAATAAAGAACAAATTGTAATTGTACTCTCCTTTTTTTTTTTATTTATAAAAAGTATAAATAAATTTCAAATAAATAAAGAAAGTGATTTAAATTGAACTAACAACCTCACGGTACACTCTTATATAGACGCATGCAAAATATAAGTGTTTTATTATTACAGCAAGAAAAAATATATATATATATATATATATATATATATATATATATATATATATATATATGTAGACAACTTTCTCATCCCATTCCTTCACCAATGAATACTAAATAATTGGGCACTATACTTGTTATTTGTGAAACATACCAACAATTATTTCTACAGTGACAGACTCAATAACACAATTAAAAATAGAAGGACATGTATCAACACATGATCGAGCAGTTTAAATATAGAGAAAAAAAAAACCAATCAATTGTTGCCACCCCAGCTTCTCATCCAAGTTTCTGTCGATCATCCTGGCAAACCACCATTACTCATAATTAATTTAGAGGACCAGCATATTCTTATTTATACAATATAATAAAATCTTATTATGTACAAAATTTGAAAATATCACAATAACAATCCTAATATAAAATAGTTTTGAAAGACTACAGAAACAAGACCGTCATTACATCAAAGGAGAAAAAAAAATAATCTAAAAAAAACCCAAAAAAAGACTAAAATTTTAGAATTAGTAAAATAATTCATATTTTGATCATATTATGGGCTAGGGTCAGCCCACGTTAATCTCCAAAACTCCTCCAGAGGTTCTATTGGTATGTTTTTTGAAAAGAAAATAAATAAATTTAATTTCTAACAAATTCTCCGACGGAAAAAAAAAATCCGTTTGAAGCTCAGTTGGCAAATTATGTCTTTTATAACCAAAATAATAATAATAATAATAATAATAATAATAATAATAATAATAATAATAATAATAATAATAATAATAATAATAGTGCTTGTTTGTGTTCCCCGATTCCACGAATTTTTTTAAAACTTCGTTGTCGCTAAGAATCATGAAGCACAGTGAAGAGATCACGGCGAAGTAAAATTTAACTCAAGGAAAAAAATTTCAACATGAAATACAATTTAAAATTTTATATATATTTCAAAGTTCAGAAGAGGCCGGTGCCCTTAGTGGCCCGACCTCCCTCTACCACCGTCAACAAGATTTCATCGATCAGGACTTTGATATATGAAAAGGCTAAAGCCCCTTTGACAACCCCTTGGATCACCCAGAATAACTCATATGAAAGCTAGGCACGTTTTAATTTTTGAAAATACACACCTAAAAGCACCACTCAAAGTTCACCTACCAATATTTTGCCGTATGAAAATTGACTTTTGGGGAAAAATAAATCAACCAAGGCGGCTTTGAAGATCAAAACTAAGCGCCTATTTTAGTTAGTTTAAAAAGTTGATAAAAATTTAAGTCAAAATTGTTTTGTGAAATATCTAGCTGTGTGTGACACAAATGTGTTAGGTCCCAAAAATGCTACGCCCTTGTTTGAGCTCCATTAGTCCGTTAAAAATAGATTTTTAAATGGATAAAATGTATTTTAAAATAGTAATTTTTTTAGAGAACGTGTAATTAAAAAAATAAAAAGTTTTAGGTTTAAAGGTAAATATTATTATATTGAAAAATACGTTGTTGAAAATAAGAAAGAGAAATACATTTTAAAAAAAATGGAGACTAAATATTTCCTATGTATATCACATCATGGGAACATTTCATGTTAAGAATTGACAATACTTATATAGCCCCTATTTGGTGTAGATTAAAATCAATTTTTTAGTAGATTTTGATAAAAAAAAAATTGATAAAATTTGTAGTTGAAAAATTGTGGTTCTATAAAATTTATGGTTAAAAATAATTACTGACTTTGACTTAAATTAAAATCTTAATTTTAATTCATACCAAATAGGCTATAAAAATAAACCATCCCTTACAAATTTTGGTGGCGTTGTGCGCGAATTTTATCGTTAGATATTTGTCATGCAAATGCTTGTCCATATATATAAGATTATCAAATTGTCCACAACAATATTCTGTAACCGAGCCAAGTTAAAAAAGAGAAAAAATTGAGCCGGCCCGGCTCG